CATCCATTTGCAAAAGCTTTCAGCATGGAGAAGCCTCTGGGGGTGTGCTGCCCCACTCACACACATACGTAACCGTGGTTTAGTGAGTTTATTAATATTATTCTGCAATTCCCTTCACCAAAACTCAGAACTTTCCCAATTAAGTCCAGCCATGAGCAGACCAAGATTAGCCCTGCTGTCTGTAGAGCCGCTTCGATACCCAGAAGCGGCTTGAAAACTCCAAAAATCCGAAGGATTGCAGGAGGAGAGAAGGCAAGGCACCGGTTGAGCCCCTGTGAGCCCCCACAGAATTGCTGCTGGGGAGGAAACAGGCGCGGCTCCCTTCCAACTTGCCAGACTCTGGATGGCATGGGACGATTCTGCTCCTCGCAGAACAAGCTGGCTGCTGCAAATGTTCTATTTGAATGAATCCAACTTGAATAATCAGCGGAAGTATCAACTTGAACCCCCAAATTTGAAAACTGCAAGTATTGATGCTTTGGTGACTTTTAAATTAAGAGAAAGTACGAGCGTGTCAAATTGATTTGAAAAAAAATGGCGCCCAGCAACTGAGTTAACGAGCTAGTGAAAGTGATTCTGTGAAGTTACTTTGATCAGTTACAAAGTTACTCTGCCTGTAATACAGAGCAATAGGAGAAGAGGAAAAATTTTTTCTTTAAAATCTGAGTTTGCTCAGTTTAGCTTCTATCTGACTAAACCTGGGGGACTTTTTTAGAAGCCTTTGTGGAGGTGGAAAAGGAAAAAAGATTTCCCTTTTCAGTAAAACCAACCTACGTGGCAAGATGGCTTCAAAGAAGCAGGAAGGAAAGGCAGCAGGGGGGGATCCCCCACACACAAACATGAATCACAGCCTCCCTCTGTCCAACAAACTCAGAAAAAAGACTTTGATTTTGAAAATTTAAAAGAATTTATATCTCAGGCTTTGGATGATAAATTTCAAAAATCTCAACAGAAAATAGATGATAAACTTCAAAAATCTCAACAGGAAATTATGCAGGAAATTAATGAAATCAAAGATATGGTGAAACAGGATTATGGCAAGGTGACTAAAAAAATATCAGATGTGGCATCTGGCCTTGCAGAATTCATTATTAAAGTGGACTCTAAAGTGGAAGAATTTAAATCAGAAGTCAATGTTAAGATGAAAGACAATGATTATAAAATTTCTGATGTTGATGATAAAATGCAGAGAGTTGAAAATGAAATTGTAATGATGCAATTCAGGGCAATGGAATTTGCTATAAGGCTTCGAGGAATCAGGGAGGATGACAGACAGGATTTGAGACAGATTTGTGCTGAGGCTTTGGCAGTGATATTAAAAATTAATCCTGATGTGGTTTTTTACAAAATAGACAAAATTTATAGAGTGAATTCCTGGGTGGCCAGACAAAGACAACTGCCTAGAGATGTGATGATATATTTTACAGACAGAGCAATAAGAAATGACATCCTGCAAAAATCTTTTCTCACCTCTGTGCAAGTGGGGGGTGGACAAATTGGAGTTTACAAAGAACTACCACCTAAAATGCTGAAAGCCAGAAAAGACTTTGGATTTCTAGTAAAAGAACTGCAAAAACAAGAGATACCATTCCGGTGGGATGCCCCAACTGGCATAATTTTGAAGTATAAGGGAGAAAGACATCATTTGAATACTGTGGAGAAGGGGGAGCATTTTTATACTACTATTTTTAAAGAAAGAACACCATCTCCACGTACATCTACAGTGTTGGAGATTAAGGAGAGTGATAAGAAGCAACTCCAGCAAGAATTGCAAGAACAGTCTAAGCAGGTGGAGTTAGAGGAAACACAGGGTGCTGAAGGAGGTTTCTTGGAGGAGCCCCTGTTAGAATCTTCTCCAATCTTGGACCCGGTTCAGATGGTTGAAGTTAAAGATCAGCGTATAACTCGTGCAAAATCTAAGCAACTTAAAGAAAAGCAACAACAGGAAAGACAATACAAAAAGGGAGCTAAGAGTACTACACAAGAGACTGAAGCCATGGGGGGAGCAAGACCGAAGATTCCGGAAGATATTCGGTTATTCTGCTCGTTGCTTCAGAATTGATCCTGGATACTAATTTATCCCAAATACCTTCTTCTGCTAGACATAAGTAAATTAGCATCTTCGTATGTTTTGAGCTAAGAGCAGTGGAGCAAATGGGACACCCATTAGAAAAGAGGAAAAGGAAACTTAACCCAACTGAGTACAAATAACAGCTATCTGACAGTCTACTATGTGCCAGTGAAGGACATTTTCCTTTTTCTTTCGTTGTGAGCACTTTGGAGTTCATAGGAACACAAACAACCTATTTTACCAGAACATGTCATAACCATGTAATTGTGGGAAAAGGTACAGCTATATTAAAGCCTTAATAAGAACACACTTGGAATACTGCATCCTATTCAGGTCACCACAATATAAAAAAGATGTTGAGACTGGAAAGAGTGCAGAGAAGAGCAACATAGATGATTAGTGGGCCAGAGGCTAAAACATACGAAGAACAGGAATTGGGTATGTCTAATCTAACAAAAAGACTAGAGGAGACATGATAGCAGTATTCCAATATTTGTGGGGCTTCTACAAAGACAAGGGGTTCAAATTATTTTCCAAAGCACCAAAAGGCAAGATGAGAAACAATGGATGGAAACTAACTCAGGAGAGAAGCAACCTAGAACTAAGGAGAAATTTCCCAACAGTGAGAGCAATCAACCAATGGAACAATTGGATAATCATTTATCTGATGATAAGTATAGGTTCTCCTGCTTGAGCAGGGGGTTGGATTAGAAGACTCCAAATCTTCTAATCCAACTTCCAACTCTATTATTCTACCAGTGTTCTATGGATTTTGCCAACTTCTAAACAAGATGTGAGCATACCAAAAATGACTGAAGTTCTCTCCCAGTTACCTATTCTTTTCAGCATAACTATATGTTATTAGTATAAGAAAGGTACATTTAACAATAACCAAGGGCATTAGTCTAGAAATATAATTGAACATATAAAGCATTTTAACTCTTATGGTCTGTTTTGCTGAAGTTGCTTTAAGTATTACCCAATGTAGTTGTTATATACAGTATCTAGCACCAAATCTTCCACATTTCACAGTACAATTCTTTCCAGAAATCATATTTTATATGGATTAAAATTGAAATCTTTATTATAGAAATATAATAGGTACAGTTTTACCATTTAAATTTCTGAAACTGCTGCTTATTTCATTCATTACAGAACCTCTGCTGCTATTTAGAATACAGAAGGGTAGCCTTTCTTTTGCTCAGGATTCATGAACTATCTCTGTTATTTTTGCTTTTTTAAATAGATGCCAAAATGAAGCACAAGTACTTTTATTTATAACTGAAATTGCACTTAATTCTCAATTAGATGGTGACCATAACCTATAACAGAATCCTAAAGCTATTCAAAGTTTTTAAAAAAACAAACCAGAACACTATTCTGCAGTAGTATACTAGTTAGGAAGGAAGTGATCAATAGCATCTTTGTAAATCAGTTCAATCATATTTGGTCCCTTCAGCTCTGGACTAAGCAATTAGCGACCTCTGTTGGCTAGTTCTCAGAATAAGAGAAACAAAGAAAGTATTTCCTGAGTAATTCTGGAGCACTGAAATTCATTTCTTATTTCTTCATCATGCTTTAAAAGATAATTTCTAACATAAACAATAATAATATTAAGCCAACTTGATTTATTTTTCCTTCATAGAATGGTATGAAAGATAGTTCAAACACACATTTTTAGAAGGACTACTGTCATTCACTGAAAAACTGACATCTAAAATGGTCTGCATAAAATTGCCATTTAAAAATTAGGCTTTTAATTAAACGAAGGATCAGCAGAGATGCTACACCAAAATATTGTTCTTTCTTTTTTCTTCAGTTAAAACGACTGATAAAAAATATTTCAAACTCTTAATTCTGCAGAATGAACACTACTAATTGATCCGTTTTGGAGATGAAACTAAAAATTTATTCATTCAATAACTACTTGTAATATTGATTTTTTAACCATTAAATAATGTTACCCATAGCAAACCAGATCATTATCTATGCAGAAAAGATTATTATAAAGGAGATAGATCTTTTCCTAAAATTAATTAATTGTGGGGGCACCTACCCTCTGGAATCAATTGCCTCCAGAGATAAGGAGAATCCAAGACCTCAGTGCCTTCCGCCGTGCCCTTAAAACCTTCCTTTTCCAGCAAGCCGGGCTGGCCTAATTTTTTAAGTGTTTTTAAGTGTTTTGTTTATTGTTTTTAATTAATGGGGCCAAATTTATATATGTATATTTTAACTGTATTTTAATATTTGTACTTGATGTTTTTACTTGGCTGTTCACCGCCCTGAGTCCTCAGGGAGAAGGGCGGTATACAAATTCAAAATAAAATAAAATAAAGTAAATAAAGAATATCATGCAGAATAACCATGATGAGTGTTTTCTTAATTTAAAATAGAAATTGGTGCTTAATTGATATAATGCTTGATTGTCTCCCATAGCTGCCAAGAAGAAAGGGAACATGTATATAATCTAGCATATATTTCAGTTTTTTAAGGAACTGCAGATATCATTTGAGGTGATATCCTAAACATTGGCTGCCATTAAAAAAACTGCCCCCTTGAGTTTAATCTATTCTTTTGGTCAGTTCCACTGGAGACAAGAATTGAAAAAGAACTTCCGATTTGGAGCTCCCCTTCTTGAGTCAAGGGAGCAGAGGGGGCATTTTCCTTGAAACAAAGGCAAATGGAAAGGTTGGAGGGGGGATCCCGAGTGTCGTCCCCCCCCCTCCCCCATGCTATACAAAAGTATCTACTTTAACAAAATTTCTAAGAAGTAACCTTATCATTATGAATCATTCGCCGATCCTCCGCCTCCTTTACTTTCTTGACCGAAAGTCTTCCCCCTCCTATTTGGCTGCCAATGGAATTCATTATTCATAAGTCCGGGGCGTGTCTTAAGGAGGGGATCTATATAGGCACCAACTGCGGCTGAAGAAGAGATCAGAGCGAGCAAAGTTAAGAGAGCGGGAGCGAGTTGCAGGCATCGAGGAGATTTAAACGACAAAAAGAAAGGACATTTATCTTCTTTAAACTACTATTATTTTACATCATCTTTTCTCTCCTGCCTTTCTTCTCTCTTCTCCCCTTCCCCAAAGGGCATCTTATTTTATCGTTTTTGAGGAGGGACTCTTAAGAAATTGTGTGGCAAATTGTTGGGGGCGGGGGAGCGGGAAATAATTTCCAAAGGAAGCGATTTTTGTAGCTTTGAAAAGGAAGGAGCTTTGGAAATCTATACTTCTGAATGACTGTATTGGTATTAAAGGGCAAAATAGGGGAATTGTTCCTGCGGCAGAACTGGAGGGACTGAGACTCTTTTCTTCCAGCTTGTTTCTGCGAAAGAGGTTGGTCTCTTCCAGGCTTTGACGTTAGAAGGTTCAGATCTCTAACCTGCCACCTTTTTTAAACTTACGGGGGCTCCCGCAGAAGCTGCAAGGAGCTACACTTCCCTCTCTTGTCTTCCCTTTCCCCAGGCAAGCAGGACGTGTGCTTGTGCTCTGCCCCCGACCTACAGAAGCGTGTGTGCAAGAACGAGTGAAGTTGTACGTCTCTTTTTGTGTTGGTGCTTGCTTGTTCTTGCCCTGGGCACGAGGGGTACCCAGATCGGCCAGTGCACACTGCTCGAGGCTGCTTGCAGACCCTTTTTCCTCTTTGCCTGCCGCTCTTGATCCTCTTTTCGTCCCTCCTCCCTGTCGCTGTTGCTATGGTGTCTGGGCTCTATATGCTACTCTGGGCAGTGGCGACGGCGCTGCTGAGCCGGCTGGCGGTGGCGGTGGGGCCGGTGGTGCGATGCGATCCGTGTGACACGCGGGCTCTGGAACAGTGCAAGCCCATGGTGCCAGAATGCCCGGAGCTGGTGCGCGAGCCGGGCTGCGGGTGTTGCTTAACCTGCGCTTTGCAAGAAGGAGAGCCATGCGGCGTCTATACCGAGCGCTGCGGTTCCGGGCTCAGTTGCCGGCCCCGAAGCGATGAGCCGAAACCTCTGCAGGCGCTGCTCGACGGCAAGGGGCGCTGCATCAACGTGAGCGGCGACACGGCGGCCGGCAGCAGCAGCAGCTCCTCCACCGCCGGCAGCAGGGTTCGTGACTTCCTCCTGCACGGGACCCACGGACCAGGTAAGAAAACAAAGAGCCGGTCTATATGATTCTCTAGTCGGGGATCCCGGCGGCGGCGGCGGCGGCAATAGCGTGGCCTGCCTGCTTAGAAGGTCGTAGTGCGCGTGCGCAGCTCGTTAAGGCAGGTGAGGTGGTTTGTGCGAAAGAAGCAGCGCCAGCACTCCGCGGCTGGTTTGTTCGGCTACTCTCGTTTCTTCCAGAAGATGATGCAACCTTCCCTCCGATTTTTCCCCTTGGCTACGACCCGCCATTAAGATAGGACTGGGAGAGGAGACTGTCCAAGTCACCCAGTAGTGGTCTGTATTTAGCTGAGAGTTCTCCCTCCTCACGTGCGAGTCCAAGACTTTAATCGATACGCGGCACTGTGTGGCAGGAATCGGGACGGTAAGGTTGGTAGGATTTGTTGCTTTCGTTAATGTGTACATGTACGTGCATGTGAAGTGCAAACGGGGGGGGGGGTAAAATATATATTGCCTTTAGATGGTAAGTGCGTAGCGTGAATGGATACAAGTGCGATAATATTGATATTCCTTATTATTAGCCCCTATTAGAAATAACTGTTGATACTTTGTAAAGTCCAACGCTTTGTGTTAAATAAGCTAAGAAAAGACGAGTCCGTGTTTCAAATGGTTTGAAACACGAGTGAGTTCACTAATAGATGACTTTCGGTTTCGTCTGATTCAGCGTGTGTCTGCATGTATCTTAGTTCTACGTGCAAAGGCAATTCCATATAGCAAGCCAGTTGTGTGCCCTGATGGTGCTTGATTCCCATATCTGTACGCAAATTTCTTGGTGGAAAAGTGGTATGAATATATAATGTCCTATGCAACTTCACTCTGTATTGATCAGGAACGTTTAAGGTTTACTATACATTGGCCAATGTATAGCAGTGGTTAATAGCCATTAGCCATTCTGCTGCCGATCTTTTCATTTGTGTTTCTATCTGAAGTAAGCTATTCTTGTTATAAAACAACTTGACTGTGCATAAAAAGTGCATTCTTGTATCATTTTATTTAAAAGTTATTTAAGTGAAGTAACAGTAACAATTTCTTTTTGTAACACAAGAAGCCTTTACACTGAGACCCATGAATTATGCCATTTTGTATTAAAGTGTTATTATATGCGTGTATGGTTGCATGTGTAGTAGACATTCCATCCTCAATGCTTCAGAACAATTCTACTTAAATTAGTAGTTCTGCAAAATGATATCCCTTTGTCTCTTTGATTTTCTAAAAAGTGGAAGAGAAAGAGAGGGAGTTGCTGCTCTGTGTCCTGTAGTCAGCAGACTGACCAAAGCAATAAAATTAACTTATCTGATTTCAGAGATGGGAAACAAAGAGAAACTTAAAATGGATGGACCACAGACTGCCCCTCTTCATAGTAGAATCAGTGCAATGTTTCATTGATCACATGGTTAACTTCTGCATACATACATATTTTCTCAGAACACAATGTTGGGATTTATTGTTGAAAAATATTAAGATAAATTCCACAGGAAAGCATTTGTAAGAAACTGATGTAAGCACCATTGCCCATCCTTAGATTCCTCCTCCTCCTCCTCCTCATCATCATCATCATCACATTCAGTTTCTGTACTTTGTGTACTTAATGTCCATCTTTAGTTAAACCTTTTCATATCAGAATTTGGCTACAAATCAACTTTTACATTGTTTCTCAGAATTAACTCAAAATCTATTGTGATCATTACATATGTTTGATTCCCAACCCACTCTGCATCAATCCCATGACCATGGGATACTGCAAAGGCTGGCTTAGTGCCAGTGGCTCAAAATGTATCCCATGACTGGGAGGGGCGATTATTGGAACTTTCAATGGGTTGAAAGTACCCATTTGGGGATCTGGCATAAGTGACTAGTTGTAAATCAAGGAATATTTATTCATTCAGAATAAAATTCAAGGACTATCAGTGACCAGGAATGGAAGGGATTATGAAGGGATTCACTGAAAAACCTCTTTGTCAATGGGATTTAATTAAAATGGCTCATTTAATTGACATAGAGGATAGAGTGGCTACAGATCTGTACTGTGTTTCTTTCATTATAAATCAAACAAACTAAAAAGAGGCCTGTAGAGGTAACCTTTAATTTACCTATCCTTGATGGGACATGGATAAATTAATAAATACTATAGTCTGCCTTGTTGTATATTATAGGCAGTTGGGCTTCAAGGTGTGCTCTCTGAATTTTGAGATTTATCCAGGGTTTTCTTAGTGAGAAGATCTATAGTAATTGTTAAGCTACCCTGGGCAACAGAGTACCAGGAGTAATATTCCCCTGTTCAGCTTCCCCATACAGCAGCATTCACTCTGTTTAGGACTCACTTCTGACAAGATCAGATAGTGCTCTCCATCCCAAATCTTAGCAGACATGCATAAATCATGCATGTACTATAAAATATGCCATAAGAATCTCTGCAATGTACCAAAATATCCCAAGTTGCTTGATGGATATTTCCATGAAAACAGAAAGCTGTCAAACTATTGTACTAGATGCTGTTGTCTACAGATGAATGTGAACAAATGAAGGTCATTGCTGAGCAGCATTTGATACATTATAAAAAGGAATTAGCTAACAGACTTCTTGCTGAGGTGTGCTTATAGAACAATGTAGACCATAATGCTTATTAATTTATGAAGCTCCTAAAGTGGAAAATGGTTAGTGATTAGACTTACTATAAGGTTGCTTTCAGATAAAAATCCAGGTCTGAATTTCTGGAAGAATATTGGGATATAATGTCTGGCAACATCAATCAATTACACATTAGAAGATTTGGGAGTATATTTTTTTAGCAAACCAATATTATTGTTTTTTTTCTATGAAAGTATCTGCTCCAGCGCTCATTTTACTTTTGGCAGTCCTAACTTTTATGGTGTTCGGGTAGTTTAAGACATTCCATCCTTAATGCTTCAGAACAATTCTACTTAAATTAGTAGTTCTGCAAAATGATATCCCTAAATCATTTTAGGGATACATCCCTAAATGTATCCAGGAAGAATAAGCAATGCAAGAAACAAACCCCTCTGGAAATTCTTTTGTTTCCATTTAAGGATAATTTAGAAAAAAATAATTAGTCAATTAGTATAGTTAGGTTACTATAGGGATAGACTTACCAGGACAATGGAAACTCAGGTTCTTTACCTCTGAGGAGGGGCTACTGGATCTGGGTGTTAAAATCCAGATCCAGTAGCTGGATATTTTTTACTGCCACCTTATGCCTGTCCATTTAACATAGTCTTTCTATAGGCATTGTTAGATGATTTAAAAAAGTCAAAAGGAAATATTTTTAATATGAAGAGTGGGTCATTAGTACCTTAAATAGTTACATGAGAGATTATACAAATCAATTTTGTCGTAGTTTAATAATGGGCATTAAGTATTATGCACATATATGCGCATGTTGGGAAGGGATTTACAGAGCTGAAAAATATGTTTAAAAAGGGAGCTGTACTTACTGTATATGATAAAGCAATTAATAATAAAAAAGAAAATGCAATTAAAAATTACATGTAAAGCTTAAGAGGTTAAATGTTGATGAAACATAGAAATAAATCTATACAAAGCAAATAATAATTTTGCTTCCTTCACCATTTGTTGGAAATGTATTCTTCCTATTGCTTTTGCCACTTGTTTAGTGGCGGTGGCAAGATACTAATAGCAAGTACCTAGTTTTGACCCCACTCCTTTGTCTTTCGGCAACATGCCATAGGCCTCTTCTGAGTGGGTTTTTCTGTACTATGAGTAGCATTTTTCTCCAAGTAGAACTTTTTACAGTACTATATCATTTATATTATTTTTATAGCTGAATATGAAGTTGGTATGTTTCTGAGCCCGTTGCTTTATAGGTGAATACATTCCCTGTTAATCATTGAATATTGTGCCTTTTTTGAGCTATTGCCACAGGTGTTTTTTGGCTGAAATATAAATATCCAATGAGCTTGGGAAACGCTAAGTTTAATAAAATACACAGAGGAAGTGTAACCAGGTATAGTAGCAGCTGGAGAGAAATTAAGTGTACACACATACCTTTTAACTGTATAGGAACTGTTTGTCTGCCACATATTTGAAACACTTCCTTTATGAAAGTGATATTTTTTTAAGTCTCAGGAAAAATCAAGTATGCATATTTGTTTTTAGAATGATAGCACAGTAATATTAACAGTCCTAAAAGGAATTACCAGTTCCTTCAAAATAGCAGCAAATATGAAGTGATAATTCGATAGTTTAAAACAGCAGTCCCCAACCTTTTCTGCTCCACACCTGGCAGCGGTGTCAGGTGTCAGTGTGGGAAAGGATGGTTTCATGCACACAACCTAATCCTGCAACAAAGTGTAAATGGAACTTTGTATTCTTGTCCACTGCTTGTGTGACCCATTTTCCAATGGGCTATGGACCAGTATCAGGCCCTGGACCAGGGGTTGGGGACCCCTGGTTTAAGATTTTTTTAAAAAATACTAATGATTAGTAATTACTATTTAATCATTCAATTTTATTATTACAAATTACACTATGTCTTCATTTAGGAAAAACATGGCAAACTCAAAAATAGATACTCTTACAATAAATCTTATAAATAATAAATAGGCAAACTATTTCAATCCTTTAAAAGTCAAGATAACATCCCAATAGATTCTTGATTTAGGTCCAGATTGAGAAGCAATTCAATCCTGGTACAATTCTGCCCTCTTCTGGTGACAGTTAGAGATTATTTAAATACAGGGAAAGCAGTTTTCTATCTGTGCAGGTAGTCCTCGGCTTACAACCACAATTGAGCCCAAAATTTATGTTACTAAGTGAGAAATTTGTTAAGTGAGTTTCCCCCCATTTTACGACTTTTCTTGCCACAGTTGTTAAGTCAATCATTTCAGTTGTTAAATTAGTAACACTATTGTTAAGTGAATCTGGTTTTCCCATTGACTTTGCTTGTCAAAAGGTGATGACATGACCCTGGGAGACTGAGATCGTCATGAATATGAGTCAGTTATCAGGCAAGTGAATTTTGATCATGTGACCATGGGGATGCTGCAATGGTCATAAGTGTGAAAAATGGTCATAAGTCGCTTTTTTCAGTGCTGTTGTAACTTCAAATGGTCAATAAGTGAATTGTTGCAGGGTTCAAAAGTATGACCAGGAAAACAAATTGATGTAGAATATATAGGCCATTTTTCAAACATTTAAATATAAATGAAAGATTAACAACAAGCCTTGCAACCCAATAAGGATGTTGAAATTATAGGTTGAGAAGTTACTAGGTTCCTTCAGTCATGGGAACACTGAACACTAAACAGGTGCTATTACCTATATGATGCCTGAGGCTGCCATCTTAAAACCATGTGCTCTGAACTATGTATTGCATTCAGGACACAATAAGTAGGTGTTTTTAAGTATTGTGGCATCAGTAGCAGATCATCTTCTATATGTAATCCTTAATCTAAATATATGCACAATATTTATTTAGATTTCTGCTTTGTTATGCTTCCCCAAAATTAAACTGACCTGATTTTTTTGTTTGTTTCCTATTGAGTAATGTTCTATGTAAATGATGGCAAAATATAAACTTAATATTCAATATTCAAAAGCAGTTCATAAGTTGCTATTTATTAAACTGTCATTGGCTAACAGCTTGTTTAACTTGTTTTTATTTAAAGGGAATTCCAGTGATTCAGATGAAGACCAGAATATCAGTAGTACAGAAAATCAGTCTGTTCCCAGCACCAACAGGATGTTAGATTCCAAGTCACATGTCCATCAGACCAAAATAGATGTCATAAGGAAAGAATATGCCAAAAATACCCAACGCTATAAGTACGATTCACAAAGCACAGACACACAGAATTTCTCTTCTGAATCTAAACAGGAGACTGAATATGTAAGTATTTAAGTTTTGCTTACAAATATGTAAGCATTTGTTTAACAATATTATGTAGATAAAATACTGTTTAACAGTGTTATATACATCCATGTCTTCATTACATCATTTTAAATGGATAAATTTTACAGATTAATTAATTAATTAATTTTTATTTATTTAATTTGTATAGCCACCAATCTCACGAAGTGACTCCGGGCAATGAACAAAGTTAAAAAAAATTAAAGTAATTAAAATAATAAGAAAGTTAAAATTCACAGCCTGAGTTTTACCTGAGTTTTTGCTGCCATAAAAATTATTAGAGTACTGATTTAATGAATTGGAAGTTTTATTTATAAATTTTACTCTGTTATTCCGTGATTATCCTATAGGTGATTTAAATATTTACTCTTATGGAATTATCCACCATTTATAGCTAAAGATTTATTTCATTTTATTTATTTTTATTCAACCTTTATTGTTTTTATAAATATTTTAGCTGGCAAACATACCTAATACACCTTCCTTTTTTTATTTTCCCTACAACAAAAGCCCTATGGTTTTGGCTAAGAGAGGGTGATTAACCCAAAATCACCCAGTTGGCTTTCAAATTCAAAGCAGGACTAGAACTCATAGTCTCCTGTTTTTTAGCTTGGTGCCTTAACAATAGACCGCATTAGCTTTAGTTTGAAGATGTCATCAAACAGCACCTTCAATTACATTTTAGTAAGTATAAAAGTTCTAGTTTGGAGAAAATATTGTAGTTATTTTAGAGAAGATGAAAGGAAAAAATGCTTGATTTACTTCCTTAAAAAATATTTTATTTATTCATTATCTATTATTAGAGTTACATCCTGCCTTTTGTTTAGAAGCTCCAGGAAGCATATGCAGTGTTTCCTCCTTCCCTGTTTTTCTCATAACAACTCCTGTGAGTTAAATTGGGTTAGCTAACAGAGAACTGGCCCAAAGTCAATCAGTGGCTTTTTGTGGTTGAAGGTAGTCTTGAAACTGGGCCTCACCAAAGGAAATCCACCACAAATACCAAAGCTGGTGCCATTAGTGTTCCTTTACCTTTTAAAAATACAAATTTTCTTCTTGGGTTTGTGAATAATGTCTCTATAAAATAAGCAGACTAGTAAACAGTTAGATAGACAAATGTTGTGATTCCTGTTCCAGAAAATGTCTAGTAATTTCACAAGATGTAAACCTTTTAATCAAGTCATCATTTAGAAATTAAAAAATTTAAAGAAGAATGTGTACATTCATCCATGCCTACACTTCGATTAGCCTGGCTGTTTTTATGGAGGTAATGGATTGATTCACTTTTATTCCTCCCAATATATAAGACAAATTATTAATAAATATAAAATTTCTTACTTCTACTCTGTGAGCTTGCATCCCAAGCAGCAAATTCCAACGAGTATAGTGAATGTAAGATTCTGAATCAACTTTTGGCTGTCTATCAAAAGGTGTCTGCTGCTCCTAAAGTCATGTCTAGCTTCGTTAGTGATTGCTCTGCCATACTGAAATGCCTTTGGGCAAAATAACACATGGGGATGAAGTGGCTACTGTTTCTTGTTCCTTATGTGGAGTGTGCGAACAAAGTCTGCAGGCCAGCCGAGTTGTAGGAAATGTGAGCATAGAATACTGTGGTTCATGTACTGTTCTTGGCAGGAAATCTGCTTATCCCCCATGTCTATGCCAACAGGCACACAAAACATTGCTGGGTATTTCTTGGCTTTGCATCAAAACATTCATAGCTGATCTAGACACAGTGTTGTGTTGTTGAAAAGAAAAAAATTGAAGGAGAGACTATTCCAAAAGCCTACAGAAATAAAAATGTTTGGAGTTGGAAAAAATGCGAAAAGTGTCTGTCCTGCTAAATCTGTCGTTTATTAAAAAATCTCTCGTTTATCAGAAGCAGTCCATCGATGTTGGCTTTCAGAGTCTGTTTCTCTCTTGAACAGAAATAAAATAGGTAGAATAATCGTATTTCAGTGCAATCATTTTTTAGCCAATTAAAGTACCCAAATTTGGAAATCAGAAGAATTCAATTGCATTGGTAGTGATGTACCTTTATCAGTTTCCAAATATAGAATGCAGTTGTATTTATGATAAGGGAGAGAGAAGAAGGTGAGAGAGAATGAGACAAAGGATGACTGCAAGTTCCCAAAGACTTGGTTACTGGAAGTAATCACGCATCATGATTTGGAAAAAAATATTTCTTAGATGCCAGATTTACCCAAACTGTTCAAAAGATTTTATCTAAAATTGCTATGGATTCTGTTTTCATGAAGTTCAATGGATCTGGCTTCTGAGAAGATATGAGCAGGAATTGATTAAATATTTTATATTTCCAAGCTTAAGAAATTTCAAAGTTATCCCAGATTTTAGATCAGAAAATGATTTATAAATCTGCAAAAGATAGTAAACACTTCATTTCAAACTTTTTTCTTCAACCACGGAAGCTACAAATTTAGTTTTACAATTGTAATATTTTTGAAAAATCTAGTCCTCTCATGTTTGTTTCTAGTAGGGATTTACATATATGAGGAAAATATGTTTTGTTTTCAAGTTTCAGAAAAATAATGCTACTTCTAATGTTCTGGTGGAATGGTCTTACAATGTTTTAATGTTCCCAGTTAAAAAAATAAAGTATTTCTTAAATAATTTTATAATTATGATTTTATTATAATTTTATAAATAGGTAAAGTATTTCTAAAATAATTTTATCCTTGGTCATTTTTTTCTGCAAGTTGGGTGGAAATAAGTTCCTTCCTACCTACCTACCTACCTACCTACCTACCTACCTCACAGCAAGGCAAAAAATGACTACAAAAGTGAACTTTTGTTAGACTTGAGTGCATATTTTTGGCTAATGGCTGCTGGGGAAAACAATAAAATGTCTCCTTCAAGTTGAGTTGAAATGTATCCTCCACAGCCTCAATTGCTCAATCTAACCTATAGGCCTAATAGTTTCTGGCTTTCTTGCATCTAGTACTGCTACTTAATTCTCAGGTAAATGACATTAACAATATTCAGAGCAATAAATGCACTATTCCATTTGAAATTTTCAGGCATAATAAATTAGTAAAATTTGCTTTTAAAGGCATTGTGAAATAGCAACAAAATAGAAGAAATGAGTGCACATACAACTCATTGTCAACATATTACCACAGTTGTGGCCCAAAATCCAGTTATAATACTGTGTTTCCCCAAAATAAATGCTTGGCCTTATTTTGGGGGGAGGTCTTATTATTTTTGATGTGCAGGAGGCAACAAATGTCATGGTCGCACTGATGGATGATCTTTGGAGGGCTCGGGACAGGGGGATACTCCTTTGTTCTGGTCCTTTTAGATCTTTCGGCAGCTTTTGATCATCGATCATGGTATCTTGCTGCGACGGCTCGAGGGGTTGGGAGTGGAGACATTGTTTTACGGTGGTTCTCCTCCTATCTCTCGGGCCGTACGCAAGTGGTGTTGGCAGGGGGGCAGAGGTCAGCTATGAGGCCCCTCACTTGTGGGGTGCCCCAGGGGTCAGTCCTCTCACCTCTCCTGTTCAACATCTATATGAAGCTGCTTAGGGAGATCATCCGTGGTTTTGGGGTGCGGTATCATCAGTACGCTGATGATACCCAGCTTTTTATATCCATCCCAAACCAGCCCAGTGATGCCCTCGACGTGATGTCCCGTTGCCTGGAAGCGGTATGGACCTGGATGGGGAGGAACAGGCTTTGACTCAACCCCACCAAGACCAAGTGGCTGTGGGTACCGGCATCTTGGTCCAATCGAGATATTCCATCGTTGACCATCGGGGTGAGGCGTTACCCCCAGTGGATAGGGCTCACAACTTGGGTGTCCTCCTGGACTCACAGTTGTCTCTGGAAGACCATGTGACGATTGTGACCAGGGGGGCATTTGCCCAGGTTCGCCTTGTGCGTCAGCTGCGCCCTTACTTGGACCAAGATGCCCTATGCACCATTACTCATGCGCTGATCACCTCCCGTCTTGACTACTGCAACGCTCTCTACCTAGGGCTGCCCTTGAAAACCACTCAAAGGCTTCAGCTGGTGCAGAATGTGGCCGCGCGGGTTGAGATGGGAGCGTCCTGACACTCCCATGTTACACCCCTCCTGCACGACTTGTATTGGTTACCAGTTGCCCTTCGGGTGAGGTTCAAGGTGCTGGTTATCACCTACAAAACCCTTCATGGCCTAGGCCTGGGATATTTGTTGGATCCCCTGCAACCAGCGACAATCCCCAATCGCCCGGTGCGTTCCCACAGACAGGGCCTCCTCAGGATGCCGTCGGCCAGACAGTGTTGGCTGGCGACCCTCAGGGGGAGAGCTTTCTCTGTGGGCGCTCCCACCCTCTGGAACCAACTTCCTTTGGAGCTCCGAATGGCCCCTGGCTTTCGCTCGTTCTGCTGCGATTTGAAGACTTGGTTGTTCCACAGCATGGACTGATGGGGGGGGGAGTGTTAATGAATTTTAAATTTTAAATTTTAAATTGTTTTAAATCGGAACTTTAATTTTATATCATTTTAATGAGGAATTATGTATTTTTACTGTTGTGAGCCATCCTGAGTCTTTGGAGATAGGGCGGCATATAAATTGCATAGATAGATAGATAGATAGATAGATAGATAGATAGATAGATAGATAGATAGATAGATATGGTTACCTCATAGCTGCTGCTGACACAGTCGCTCATTAGCTGTTCACTCCTGAGGCCGTGCACCGGGGGGGGGGTTCCTAAATTTTTTTACTACTGGTTCTGTGGGTGTGGCTTATTTTGTGGGCATGGTTTGATGGTCATGTGACAGTTCTTTAGGATTTAGCAGAGGTTCTGGTCTACAGGCTTTTAACTGGTAGACCAATAGCCCCAGACCCCCTTGGGATCAACCTGCAGCCCTCCCCTGCCTCCTATGGTGGTGGAGCGTGTGAGGGGGGATGCTTTTCAAGAAGTCACAAAGAGGGCTGAGAGCTGGTTTCTGTCCCACAAGTAAGATTTGGTCCAGA